CAGAATTTTGAAAAGTATTGTATAAATAACTCAATAATTTGTGAATTGTTGATACAGACATAAAAATAATTTAAAAACTTAGAATTGTCTTATCTTATTTAATAAAGTAGAAAATGCTCACACATACTACATTCTATATTAACTGGATGTACCCAATGAATTTTTTGACTTTTTGATGAGACTATGTCTCGCCTCTAAAATCACACTGCTGTCAATGGCTGTACATCATAGAGGTATGAAGGAGTACATGTCAGGAGTTGCAATTTGTCACAGAGTATTTGGTGCCCAAATCATGTGCACATAAAATAAACCAAACTTGTAGGTAGTCGGAATCGAGAACCGGGTTAAAATAAAATACAAAATGCTGAGACTTTCTACAAACAGGTGCGAGTGCAAGATTTGCACATGATTGCTCACGCTTTCCAATATATAGTCTTGTCCCAAGAATGGCTTTGCCATTTTACTTGTTTCATTTATATAATTCACATACATAAATAGCATGTTTTCTTTTGGTCTATCATAAACCACTGCTCCAACCAAGTATAAAAGCAAATTGATTAAAAATATGAGTAGACGACATTGCTGTGTTTACAATGCCATGGCTAGTCACAGTCAGTTTCAGATTGGATTGTGTGTAAAGGGTCTTATAGAAGTAATGATTATGAAATTGATTACTATATAAGTTTAATTTTTACATTATAATAATAATAGAATATTTTTATGTAATTATTTCCTAGATTTTATTGAAATTGAGCTTTGTTGTGTTTTCAACAAAAAATAAAAGTGAAATACAACTCAATAATAATTCTAATTATTCATAATACTGAAATTTATATTTTAGATTTATTTTATAATTGTCAATCTTTGGATCTGGTTTAAACAAATTTTGAAGAAATTTTGGCTATTACATTTACCACTGTTACTTCCAGCTTTTACACTTGGTGAACTAATTGAAATTGTTTCATTGTGTCACAAAATGACAGAGAACGTGAACTTAGGAAAGTGTGAAACTTCGCCAAAGAAGGAAAGGTGTTTTTGCCTAATTAATTCAGAAATAGCTGATCATCAAAGAAAAAGGACAAATAGTTAAATAATTTATAAATCAGAGACAATTATATTTTATCAGGTAGAAAATTTCAAAAATAGGATTTCTAAACCAGAAACAATAGATTATTGTTTTAATTTTGTCTTTACTTACATTTTGCACATATAAAAGTAAAAACATTAGTTCATCTTTGCTCTAAATTATAAAAATCATGATTTAATCAGTGATGATTCAAATTGTTTTTGATGTTGATATTTTACAAATAGAAGACTTCTCTTATTCTTCTCTTTTCTTGGTTCAGTCCTCACTTTTGCTAATTTATTTATTGTTCAGTTAGCTTAACTGTCTGCATTAAACCAGCTTTGACAGCAAGCAATACAAATTTCGTTCATGTTTGTGTCTCAGGGCTAATTTATACTTACTTTGAAGTAAAAGTTATAAACGGTTAAGTTAGATAATAATATGATTAAAAAATAATTGTTTTAAAAATTTTCTCAAGAAAAAATTTCTTAGTCTAATAGTTAAAATAGCAAAAATTCAGAAAACACCATCTTGCGTATTGTGCATATTGCATTCTGTAAATATGATATCTTTAGCTTGTGTACCAATGATTCACATCCAACCAGTAGACATATTTGTTGAATGGACATAGGGAACACCTCTTTATTCTTGCACATTGTAAGGAATCTCAGCTTAGCCCAAGCCGTAGTTAGGGCTAGAACTACTTTTTTATATAATTTAGGTGTTTTCTAAACTCAATTGCATAATCAAGGTTGAGAATCAAATACACAACCAGGATCCAGAGTTAGTAAAAATTCTTAGTACTAAAATATTACTTAGATCTCACATTATTCTTTCCTTTTGTAGTTGTCCAGACAAATTGAGAGTCATCACAGTGACTCTGTGCTAAGTGAAAAAATATCTTTTTATTCTATTAATAACATCTAAAACATGAATAATATCCATTCTTAATAAAAATTTTTGCCATTGGTGGAGGAAACAAAATAGCAATTTCCATTCTAGAAACAAGGTCAAAGAAACTGTGGTCTGAACCAGTCAATGACAGATCTAGGAAGTTTGTGTAAAAAGCAGTTTCTATTCATTGTATAAATTGTGGTCATCAAGAAACATTCTTGAAATGCAATTTTTTATGATTTGTGATTTTTTTAAATGAGTTCTAAACTGTGGTAAAGATTTAGAACTCATCTCTATAGTCTACCCATACAATTCTATTGCCACTACTGAAATTCCAGACAGAAGTTTTACCTCTTTCATATATCAAGCAATGGGATGTATCAAAACCAAAATGTACAAAATGAGAAGGTGACTTCCTGGTCACAGCACTGACAACATAATTTCCTGTCTGTAATATGTAGATTATGTGTTGAAAAACTTTTAACTTTAATGTATTATAAGACACTGTGCATAATCTATAATAATTTTTTTCCATATCATCGAAAAAGTCTTCAAAATCATTTTTGTTTTTGTCACATCAAAATGTCTTCTTGTTATGTTCATGAAGTGACAGGATATCTTAAGTGTTGGGCAGATGTAAGAGACAAAGGTGTTGTTGGAGCTGGTTGCTTTTCGTGAATTAAACAAATATGTATCATTATTGGTCTGCAATTTGAAAAAATTGTAGGCCTATAAATTCCCACTGTTGTCCATCTGTCATTCCTTAATCTTGAGAACAGAGTTAGATCAATGAAAGATGAGACCAGGTATGGAAACCTTAGGGGGCAGGAGGCCCCCAATTAACATATATGAACTTCCAGTACAAACTGGAAGTCATGTTAATTCAATTAAAATATTTTCCCTCAAAAGGAGTTAGATATATGACCGGCATGACTATTGCTAATGGAAAAGTATGATGTACAGAGGTAAGACACTTCTAATTTGAGGTGGCGAGCATATATTTTAAATTAAAAAATTTTTAAAAATACGATTAAAAATTGCAGCCTGGCATTGTGATGTCACTGTAAATAATTGTTTACACATGGGTTTTCCTCAATAAATATTTCTAAGTTGATCTGTTTAAAATATGTTTTAAGTTCAATTTAAGAGGTTTTAGCTTAGATAATTTTTTAAAACTCTTTTTATCCATGGAGAATAAGAGGGCATTTTTTTTAAGCTAACCATGGGTTGACTAAATCATAGTGATGAAGGTTGGAGCCCAACACATCTGAGACATATCAACTGTTGAAAAATTCCCATTGCATTTTTTATTGTCTAGATTTAATCCAAAGCATCCCAGATGCTTTAATTGCCTTGGCCATCTGGTTGGCAATGAAAGAAGATAATCAGTAGTGTCTGACCTTTACAGTAAATCTCAATCAAGTGACAAGACTTATCTTCACTTTTGATAAAGAAAGTTTGTTTCAATTATAGATACAGAAAATTCAGTGATTTAGTTTTGATGTTTCTGTGAATATTTTATTAATAGATTAGCAATGTTCAAAGAAATGAAAAATCTTACTGACAGATTTTACAATCTTTGTATGGATTGATTTTATTTTTATTGTTAATTTTTATTTATTTAATTTAACTTATAATAAAAGTTTGTAGTTAGAAGGATATTCCTTGACTTTGTTATACCTTGCCACTATTGTTGTTTGACCACCAAGAGGAAGAGGAAAGGTTTGAACTTTAACCAGGGGCTTTTTATCTCATGGTCTGTCAACTGATGATGATTTCTATTCATAGATTCCAAAGGGAACAATTTTGGCTGACAGAGGATGCAAAGACTAACAGTTTGTTAAAGTTTGCTACGAGAGTATGTTTTATTATGCTTATTTAGGTTATGCTTATATTATAGAGCAGTGTTTTCCAATATTTTTGGATTAGTGACACACTTTGAATTTAATTAAATTCCAGCGACACCATAATTTTTAAAATAAAAATGTTTAAAATTATTTTTTAATTAATATGCTATAACAGTAAAACTATATTTCTTTTATTAGGACTAAAAGCTGATAATTTATATTTGATGAATTCACTAGACTGTTCTGAAATAATATAGGAACTGGAAGGAGAAATTTAAAAATAAATTAATTCACAGCTTAAAAGATCATCAGTTGGATCAAAACCATTGTTGTTTATTAAAAGATACCTGCTGGAATAATTTTTAAGATGTGAATTTATTTATCACTAGACTGTTGGTACTACAGAAGATAAAATATTGATTTCATGAAGATGTGTGTATTGACTACATCATTCTTTGACTCCAGATTTATGTAAATATAATGTGCTTCTTTACAATATAGATTGATTAAAGACTAGTACTGAAATATTTAACTTTTACTCTGCAGTTTAATATAAGGTAAAACATTTTTTATAGGTATGAAGTCACATAAAGAACAGCTATGATTTGTTAATGAGTAAATTGATTTCCTGTCAATTGCTTTGAAATAGCATTAAAATATTTTTTTTCTTTAAAAATATTGATAATCTAAAGAATTATTTACATGATATTATATAGTGAGGGTTTTTGTTTTGTATATATTAAATTGAATTTAACTGGGATTTTTATTAGTAGTTATCAAATATAATTTTTCATATATCTGTACATATTACATTTTGTAAGTAAAATAATAATTGGAAACATTTTTTTTGTTTTTTTAATCTTTATTTCAATTAATTGTAATTATTTGTTTCTTTGCAGACACACTAAGGTGACATATATCAACACTTGGCAACTTATTGACTATTTATTCAGTTGGGACGCCTTTTACATTACGCGTTTCGGGCATTGGCCCCTCTTCAGCCAACATAAAAGAGGGGCCAATGCCCGAAACGCGTAATGTAAAAGGCGTCCCAACTGAATAAATAGTCAATAAGTTGCCAAGTGTTGATATATGTCACCTTAGTGTGTCTGCAAAGAAACAGCTTAATAACAACAACACGGTTTCATCAGAATCAAACGTAATTGTAATTAGTAATTGTTTTATTTTTTCAGAGCAATTAATGCAGGTAAAAGTGTACGTAATGAAGATCAAGCAGCTGTTTATAGAGGACTCTTATGTAGATCCTTTACTGATGGTCAAGTGAACATAGGTAAAGAAAGTAATTCATATGAAATTCCTATAGTGACTCAAATAGGAGATAATGCAGAGATTAAAACTGTTCCTGAAAATCTAAATTCTGAAGAAATTGATTCAGTTGCAGTGCCTTCAACTAGCGATAGCATTAATACTTTATCATTGAATGAATCCCATTTTAGGACTCCTCCATCAACTCCAGAACCTCGTAAAAAGCTAGCTGTAAGTATTTTAATCGTGGGTCTGTATTTATAAATATCTGATAAGATACAGTATAGTAGCATTTCAATATTCAAAGTTATTTGAAACTTATACTATTTTACATTTTGTCTTCACAAAACACATTATAGCATTTACAACAAAACAGGAGAAATTGACAATGGCAGTATGTCTTATGACATCACTAGTAACCATTTTCATTTTAATATTACTAATTGAAAAGTATATTTTAGGGATGAATTATCAGAATTTTCTCACTTCTCGTGTGTTTTTAATGTCTGAGAAAGAAAGATAACTGTATTTTATTTTATTTGAATTAAAATGCTTCCTAGATATCTTAAGGAGAAGAAAGTGAATAACAAGTAAACTATCACTGTATATAATAGAAAATTGTGATCAATCTAGACATGAAACAAAAACTATCTGAAATTAATGCTGATAGTTGTATTAATAGAAATATTGTAGTAGTTTGAAAGAAACTGACAAACTAATTTTTTTTAAGAAGAAGAAAAGATGATAAATTATGAATGAATGAGATCTTTTCATATGACATTCCGTAAATAGTTTTAATTCCACTATGAGTAATTCTATCAATTTTTTCAGCATTCAATGACATCTTGGAAGTTAGAATCAAAAATACTCTAACAGAGACAGTTAGCAATAACCATTTATTAAATTATCTAACAATAAAGCCAAATACTTCCCACATCTTTCCCATTACTTTGACTTAATGTAAGAGCTATTAGATATATAATATTTATTAGAGACTATATCATCATCTCATATGCTTTGTTAATATGACACTTCCATATTTGGCAACTTATGAGGAATTTTATTTTAAATTATGATACTAGATGTTTGTGAATCTAGCCCATGTTTTGTTTTTATATTTTCTGAAGTTTGTATTTAAAACATACACACTCATTGCCATAAAAATTAGCACACCAAGAAGGAGTTGTCGGAATCGAACAAAATTGTATATGTGAGTGTAATGGTGATACAAGTGATTACAAAATGAAAGCAAAAGGATCATTTATTGTAGCAACAACTACAAATGAAAGGCAGTTCTAGTACCCTTTCGGTTACTTCTAGCATGACTACATGTGGTATGGGTGGGCATGGAGGCATACAGGTGCCATATGGTGTCCTGTGGCATCTCAGTCCACAGTTGCTGCAAGTGGTCCTTTAGCTCGGCCAAACTCCTAGGCTGTATAACTTATCATTCCAGATGATCCCAGACATGTTTGATTGGTGACAAATCAGGACCAGGCAGGCCAAGGAAGTGTGGAAATGTGGGAGGGCAGTCCTGTGACATCCTTGCTGTGTGTGGTTGTGCATTGTTCTGTTGGAAAATGGCTCTTGTGAGTCCTGCCATGAGAGGCAACAAATGTGGCTCAGGATGTCACTAACATACTGCTGGGTTGTCATGGTCCCTTGGATCACTAATAGAGGTGACTGGCTGTCATATGTAATGGCACCCCAGATCACACCAGCTATGGGAGCAGTGCCGCTCCAGGCAGGATTGAGGGGTTCCCCACAGGGCTTCCAGACATGAATACAGACATTGTCAGTGCCCAAGCTGAATCTGGATTCTTTGCTATAGACAACCTGCTTCCATTCTGTTTTGGTCCAATCTCATTGGGAGCAACACCACTCTAAACAGGGGTGACGATGGGTGGTGTCAATGGCCACTGCAGTACCAAATGTTCCTCACTCAGGTGCCTTGAAATGGACAGACAGACCTAGGGGACTGTAATGGTGATGTGGCCTGTGTCCAGATGTTAGACAATGAATGATATGGTTAGCCGTGTGAGTGCTTGTTGGAGGACCAAGCAGTCCTCTTGGCTAGTGGTCTGCCATGTTTGCGAGCTCTTTCTCATCCACTGGTCCCAAACACCACTTCACAGTGTTGTCAGAATGGCCTAGGTGGCAGTCTATTCGGTGAGGTGACCATCCAATTTCTTTCAACTTGATGATTCTTCCCTTCTCAAACTCAGTTGTTCATATGGCCTTCAATTGTGATGTAAAGGCATCTCTAGTGGTACAGCATTCCTCTACAGCAAGTAATCTACAGACAGGATGCATTTTAACCAGGGCTGTGGAGTCGGAGTCATGGAGTTTTGATGTTTTAGTCAGAGTCGGATGGTAAGGAAAAGTTGGAGTCGGAATTGGAGTCGGTAGATTTTTACGCGACTTCCACAGCCCTGGCAGGGCTGTTGAGTTGGAGTCGGAGCCAGAGTCGTGGAGTTTTGGTGTTTTAGTCGGAGTCAATAATAAGGAAGAGTCAGAGTTGGAGTCGGTAGATTTTTACGCGACTCCACAGCCCTGATTTTAACACCCTCTGCTGGCATTGGCATTAGCAATGAGCCATCGTGCTATAACTGTATTCATTTCCATATCTTATCTGCATGCCAAGTTTCTCAGCGATATGGCAATGAGTATATAATATTAACTCTGTTACTTACGAGTATTAAATATTAAAAAAATGTATTAAAAAAGTAACAATTTTTTACATTTATAAAATATTAAAGTATAATAATTTATTCTTTAAAATCATTTTTTATTTATATTTATTGTGATTATATGCAATGAATTTATTAAAATAACAATGAAAATTTAAATCTGTATTAAACAAAAAATAATTTCATTTTATATCATGGGTTAGCAATAATTAAATAGTTTATCAAAAAGCAGAAATGATTTGGATTAGATATAGATGAGAGCAGGTTAGACTGAAAAATTATTGTTCAGTAAAAGATATGTGCTTTTTATTGCTAGTTACTCTTACTACTATTATTATTTATATTACTGTACTATTCTTAAATGATAGCAGGAGATTGTTCCTGCTGTAGAAATACTAAAACTACCAAGTAGTATTTGTAATTTCCAGTTAATTGTGACACATTTTATGTTCATGATATTTCTAAATGCTATGTAACCAAAATAGAAACCGATGTTATTGGTTGCTATTTTGGTTACATAGGTAGCGTATATATTTTGGTTACAATATTACAGAAATGATTATTGCAATTTGACTGTAAAAGCAAGAAATCTATTTTACTGAAATAGGAAAGAACAATTAAATGTTACATTTTAAAAATATATTAACCATGTTATCAAACAAAAGTAAGTTTTTATATCTGTTGTGATGGTAAAAATGTTGAAAGAAACAGATTGCTTTTATGTTGAATGAATTCTGGAAATTGGAGAAAAATGAGAAAAATTGTTGAGAAATTAATGAGTGAATTAAGACTTTTTGAATAACTTAGTCCTCAATTATATCATGCATATTTTCTAATATACAAGATGATAATATATGTAATGATATATAAATAAACAACAAAATGTGGTTATAGTGTATAATGAATTGACAACCATTACATATGCTATAATTTTAAATGATGTGCAGCAAGTTCCAGATTTAAGGAATAGTAAAACAAAATTGAAAAATCAATAACATTCAATTATTATATTCTTAATTTGTTAACAGTTTAAAACAAGCCTTTTTCTTTTACTTCCACTTTTTTTTTTATATTTTCAACATGCATCATTTTTACTGTATGACATTTGTGAAATTTTATTTATTTTTAGATTCAATAGAAATTTGCAAATTATCTAGAGATGTAGCTGTAAGCTTTTTGAAATTGTTTACATTTATTGTAAGTGATGTGAGTTTGTGGGACACAATAGATCAATAGATGGATCATTTTATTCTTCATTTAGCTTCTTGTTTGGATCTGTATCAAATTATTATTTCAGTAGTGCTTTTTTCCCCCAAAAACTTATCACAACTTAAAAAGAATAACAAAAGAGAGTTATAACATATAAAAGTTGTGATAAGTTTGGGAAAAACAGCACTATTTGGGTTGCTGAAATTATAATTTGAATCATTTATGATAACATATTTTACGAGACCAATTTATTGCTCATATTTATTTACTACTATCATTTACAATGTTCTCAGTTATGCATTTTTCCACAAGGATGAGTGATGACTTCCATTGTTACATCACTTGGTTAGTCACTTTAGTTTGGGTTGCCATTTATTATGTTTTTTTAGTTTCAAATGCATGACATCATTTCACAATACAGTGGAACCTCGCTTAATGAGCATAATTTGTTCCAGAATCTTACTCATGATGCGAAACATTTGTTAAGTGAAACAATTTTTTCCATATAAATTAATTAAATTATGATAATGCATTCCATGCCAAAAAAAATACTCTAATATTTTATGTATAACATTTATTCAAAGAAAATTATACAATATACATTGTTAAGGAGTGTGAATCATTATCATTTCTTCTTGTGCAGAATGAACCAACCTGGAATGCAAATTTGATTTGCAGTAAACAAAAAACAAATCGAAATTTAATTTGGAATCAGTCATTAAATTTAATATGAAATGGCAGCATAACTGCTTACCTCTAGTCAAATTATTTAATTTCTAATATTTAATTATAGCCTTTACATAGCCCAAGAATTTGGCATATTGTTTGGTGTGTTTTTGATATAACTGGCTATGGTTGTTGGTATTTATATGTAATATGTATGAACACAAGTTTGGAAAAAATGTGTGATCACAAGCGACACTAAGATGATAGCAGAATGAGTGCTAAACACAGACTGATGTAATATTCACACAATCTGGGACTTCTCCTCTCCTCGTCACTTGTTATGCAAAATGTTGCTTGTTAAGCAAGTAACTTTTTTAAAATTTGTTTTGCTCATTGTGTGAATTACTTGTTATGAGAGGTGCTCGTTAAGCGCGGTTTCACTGTATGTTAGATCTCATCATACATTTCTATGTACTTTAACTGGCAATAATTTTAAAACACAAAAATTACATTAGTTTTCCAAGTGCCTAGCCAATGTGAACTAACGTACCACCCATGATACACATACGACTAGACCATACAAGGTGTGTTCCATAAGTAATGCGACTAATTTTTTTCACGACACGACGATATGCCGTAGCTAGTTCTAACCTTCTGTGCTAGGTGGATGGGGTGTTAGCTTCAAAACTCGCCTGGTCTCATTTGCCTCCAAGCTGCCGGTGTATGAGGATGTTCGTTCCCATGAACCCCATTTTGAGTTAATGTAACACGGAGTGATGGATCATTTTGTGGAACAATGTTATGCTATCAAATTTTGTGTTAAACTTGGGAAGTCCACCACTGAGACTTTTACATTAATTCAGCAGGCCTTTGGGATTGATTGCTTCTCCAAATCACAAGTCTTTTGATGGCACAAGTCGTTCAAGGATGGCCGAGAGGAGGTCACTGACGAATCCCACAGTGGACATCCATCAACCTCCCGAATTGTCTTCTTTGATGTCAGAGGCATTAACCACCACAAATTCGTACCTGTCAGGAATACTGTAAATGCAGCTTTCTACTTGGAAGTGTTCAAAAGACTGAATTCCTAGTTGCACACTGCTGAAGTGACATCAAGGCTATGCGGAAACTTCATCACGACAATGTGCCAAGCCACAACGCTTTCACTATCAACAATTTCCTGGCCAGGACCCACACCCCATTGGTTCCACCACCACTTTACAGTCCTGACCTGGCTCTTGCCAACTTTTTTTTGTTTCCTCGCTTAAAAGGGGCCATAAAAGGGAAACATTGGGACGCGATTGAAAACATCAAGGCTTATGTTACATCAGCTATAAAGGACATTCCAGAGAAGGCCTTCCAGAATGCCTTCCAGGCCTGAAAACACCGCACCACTTCACAAGAGTATCGATGCAGGAGGGTGCTATTTTAAAGATTTTTGACTAATTGTAAGAATATGTTCAATAAATGATTTTTTATGAATTTGGTTGCATATGGTCGTGCCAGTGCTGCCAGCTAAAACGTGCATATCAACAAAAATAATATTGGAGTATCCCAAGACATAGCCAAAGATTGCATCGCCACAGTACTAGTGGAAATTTCAATTTGCCGACTGGAAAGCTTTTGGTTAATTAATTGATGTTTTGGTTGATCAATATTCAGATAATTGATACTCTACTGTATTATGGAACGCACCTTGTATGATTACAACACTAGTATCTCATTACCCTAATCTAGCACATGGATGAATTTACAGTTTTAAATGATTTATATTGTTGTGCTAATTAGTGCTGTGCTGATAACATATCAAACTGAAAGTAATATATGTTTACAATATCAGTAGTCTAGATTTCAAAATATTGATATTGTAAACATTTATTACTTTTGGTTTGATATATCAGTTATCAGCAGAGCACTAATTGTGAGAACTACAACAACTCTCTTTAGAATTTTTAACAATGGTGCTATTTTCTGACAGCTGGAGAAATTATTATGTTGAAAGATCAAGGATGATTATCATAATTAACAAATACAGAATTATCAATATTTGTCATTGATAACATACCAAAATTCAACATTATCAATAAAAGTTGGCGTTTTATTGGATGTAACATATCTGTATCGATATTGTAAGCATTAGTTTTGGTTTGATATATTGATTATCAACACAGCATTATCAATCATTTTCAGTATTCAATAATTTTTAGTATTTATTGAAATTTTATCAACGTATTGAAGAAATCTCGGTATCAAGCCTGATATCAATATCTAAATTTTAGTTTAGTGCACTCCTACTAAGTTTAATCTTTCTTATCATCTGTTTAAAATATCTTAAGTAATGATTTAATTTATTTAATAAACTGATATGCAAGATATTGAAAAAATGTACACAATAAATAAGCAGTTTCAATTCATTATAAAAATTTTAAATATCTATTCATTTTTATAGGAAGCAAAAAATTAATAACATATATTCTCCAATTAAGCCTTAAATAAATAAATAAATGTTCATTCAATATTAAATAATTATATTACAGTTGAGCATCGATTATCTGAATCAATTGGGAACTGGGGTTGTTTGGAAAATCGATTTTTCGGATAACTGATTATGTACAAAAAAATATATTAACCTATCCCATGTTGAAATTCGTTCAAATCCTGGCATGTCCTTAAGTACCCTCTCATGGTCGTGCCAGTGCTGCCAGCTAAAACATGCATATCAACAAAAATAATATTGGAGTATCCCAAGACATAGCCAAAGATTGCATCGCCACAGTACTAGTGGAAATTTCAATTTGCCGACTGGAAAGCTTTTGGTTAATTAATTGATGTTTTGGTTGATCAATATTCAGATAATTGATACTCTACTGTATTAAATTTTACAGCTGAACCAAAAATGAAAGTAAGATATGAAAAAAAAATTTTTATAGTAAATTTATAGTATACTAGCTGCAAGGACCCGCTTCGCTGGGCAAAAAGTAACGATAGTGAAGATTAAGATAATTACATTATAGCTAATCTTACCCGTTTTCATAGAATGCAAGAATTAGGTCCCCGTTTCCAGACTAATTAGAGAATTTTTACGTTTAGTCAAACGAACTATTTTCAACATTTCTGGAATGTTTACAATCATTCTATAATTGAACCAATATTCGAATTTTATGTTCAAATTTAATTCGAACAAATTCGAACATTGTTCAAATTAAATTCGAACAAATTCAAACAAAACATTCGAAATAGAAAGCCACTTTCAACCACTTTCAGCCTCATATCTCCTGCACCCTTATAGCTATCGAGACGCAATCACCCCTATGCACGAATGGAGACTTGGGGCTACCACCACATACAAACACCATTCACGTGCGATGTGTAGTTTTGGCAGAAAAGTGAAATATAGGGACATACATGTCCATTTATATATATATATATAGATGTATTGATATGTCAAAGTGTTTTGATTATAAAATAAACAAAAATGGATCTTTTTCATTATTTTTTATTAGGCTTAATTCTAAAATAATTGTAATTTATTTTTTAATAGATTGAACAAAGTCTACCATGGATTTATTTTGGTTTATTTGATGGTCATGCTGGTTCTGGTGTTGCAGTTGCTGCAGCAAAAACTCTCCATACAATACTTCAGGTAATTCATAGTTTTGTTTCAATATGTTAATTAAATTAGCAGTCCAAAGGTCGCCTGATAAATCTAGCAATTAGGTATTCTAATTTAATGAATAATTTTTGATATACATTGTTAACTTGTTTTGCAATGATTAAACAAAAAATTTTTAGTCATAAAACAGTTTAATTAAAGTACAAACATTATAATTTGTAGTTTATATATATTAGTTATAAGTATGGGTTTCTTTTTACTGAAGAGAATTATGAGACCTATTTAATTTGTTTTAAGTGTCTATTCACTGTTCTTAAAAGGCAATTTGAAACAGGGTATGGGTTACGTGAATCATGTGTATCGTATGTTGATTTTAAATTGTAATTACAAGTTAACCATACAGCTTTATTTGTATCTAAAGTCAACAATAGCATCTTTAAAAAAACATGAATAATCCTTTTGCCATGCAGATATAGTCATGATTGCAGACAGATCTGCAATTGTGATTTTTTCCTGAAACCAGAAAAGATACATATCGCTTGCCTTAAGTTTTCTCCCATTTGTTTTTATTTTTTGTATGTTCAATCCATGCTTTAATTGGTATTGTTAAACATTCTTATTTGAATTTGTATCTTAAAAGTTGATAAATTTCCAGTAATTATCACTATCTATATAATATCATTTCAGAGAAATTTTATGGTTAAGACATATATGATAATTGTCATCCATATATAAACTATAAACTCGGTCTTTTTCATTGCTATAAAGTGAATATTGATAACTAAAAATAATTATATACATTTTAAAATAATAGCCCTAGTTTGATTGTACAATATCGTGTTTTGTTTATACACAACTGCATTACTTTTGATATTTATTTGTTAAAGAAATGAAAACTAAAAATGACTATTACAATTTTGGTTTTTTGCTTTATTTTTTAAATTCTAGTAGTGAGATTTATTTATATTAATTAAAGTGACATTTGTATGAAATAACATATTATTTCATACAAATGTCACTTTAATTAATGTTTCAAGTTAGAAGAAAGTAGTACAGTAGAGCCTTGATTATCCGACCCCCAATTAACTGACACCTCGGCCGACCGCCCTAGTCGGCAAATTTCAAATGTCTGCTAGTGATGTGGTGCTACAATATTTGGCTATGTCTTGACTACTTTAATATTATTTTTACGTGTTTTAGCTGGCAACACTCATTCGACCATGAAAGGGAGCCAGTATTTAAACAAGGCTTAATTTTCTAATTTTTAACGATACAGTAGAGACGATTATTATTTTAAAAAATTTTTGTTAGGCTTAACATCGATGAAAATTCAACGCGAAGTAGGTTAATAGTGATATACTAATATACTAATTACATGGGATATAATAATATACTACACTAATAATGGACTTTTTTTCATACTTTTCAGTTATCCGACTTTTCAATTTTCCGACCAACCCAAGTCCCCAATTGAGTCGGATAATCGAGGCTCTACTGTAAAATAAATCTTTGTTCTAAACAGTAATTTGAAGAACGAAACATAATTTTAGATACCTTGATCATTACAATCTTTAGCAAGTAATGAAGCACATTTTTTGAATGAGTTGGATGCTGAAGAACAGTTTTTCATTCACTTTGCTTCATTCTGTTTTATTTATCAAATAACAATAAATATCAAAATAAACTTTCAAATTTTCTGTTCAATTATACAGAGTTTGAATTGATGGTGAAAAGAGGGATGGATGTAGCATCAGCCTTTTCAGTGACTTTTCATTTTTGAAATTGTGATCACATTTAAACACGTTGAACTTTTCCACTAGTGATAAACATTCACCACTAATTGGAGTGACTAAAATTTCTACAGATGAGAGTGAATTTAAAGTTCTTTACAGCAAATAAGAGCTGAATGATTGACTCTCAAATCTGTCATTGGATTTTATCAACATTAAAATTTAATTTTAATGTCTAGATAATTTTTTTTAGTAATATTAATAAATGTTAAAATAAATATATTTTATTAATATTAAATTATAAATGAAACAGAAATTAAGATAAAAAATTTTTGTCTTTAGTAGACTTTTATTTTTGACACATGTAGTTTAGGAGGTACAGGTAACCCCCGTATAACACGGTAGTTACGTTCCAAAAAATTGCCGTGTTATGCGAATCCGTGTTATACGAAACAAAGAACTAATACGAAAAGGAGGGTTAGGTTCCAAAAATTAAAAAACATGCTAGTATATTTTCATAATTAAGATAAATATCTTCATTAAAATTTTTTTAAGTGATACATATTAATATAAATTAAACAATGTTTTCTTCGTCATCACTAAAAACACTATTAATTAACCGAGAGCGTTTTCTTTTTGGCAAGTTATCCTTATCCTCTGAGTATTTTTTTGCATTATCTTCAGATCCATGCTATACCTTTTGCAAAAGATATGTAATTTTAAATTGCTTGCTTTTAGTTAAAAGATCTTTATAAATTTCCTTATATGGTGCTAAGCACTTATGAAGAATAAAGCAAGTACGGAATAAGGGAAAAACATCTGGCAACATCAGAAGCAGAAGCGTCGAGATCTGGCAACATTGAAACAAGTTTCGAGAAGGATCATGTGTATTGACAGAAGGAAAAGAAAATTTACATACTTAAGTAATAAATTTTTACATACTTAAGAAATAATAGTTCACGAAAATAATAATTTTCGTGAACTATTATTTCTTAAGTATGTAAAAATTTATTACATTTCATGTTGTACAAGGGTTTTACCCAATTCTCGAACCGTGTCAAAGTGAATCCGTGCTATAACAGTGCCGTGTTATATGGGGATGGTACCAATTCTCGAACCGTGTTAGAGTGAATTCGTGCTATAGAAGTGCCGTGTTATATGGGTATTCTGTATTATCTGTATTATCTGGGTATTCTGTATTCTGTTTTTCATTTCACTTATTTTATAATTATATCTATAATGAAGTGTAATAAAAAACAGTGCTTTAATGTTTGAGATGGTACCTTCTAAATTGCATATGAGTAAGTACCTTGCTATTAATGACGACTTTGAAGGCATGGGGTATACTGTAGGGCAGATTATTTATTTCCATTCTTGCAATTTTCTACAGGATATATGCTGTTGTGGGTTTTATATCATTGCCAGTTATAGGTGAGATTATGTTAATAGTATATTTACTTAATATTTCTTGATTTTGTAGTAATTGTTTACAAAAAACTGTAGTATCTATATATATAACCCATTCAACAGGTGTCCGTCCTTCCTTCCGTCCATCCGTCCTGTAACCGTTTGATAACCGACACTAGAGGCGCCCCTATCGTGTGTCATATTTCAAACATTCAAATTAAATTAACAATTTTAATTATTATTTAAATTAACAATATAAATTATTATTATTCATTTGGCCAATAAATTATTATTTGGTCAATATAACAATATAAATAATTCA